TCATTCTAGAATGAAAGAGGCATAATTTAAATTTATTTTCTAATTTTTTTTATGGTGGTTACGAGATTGGTTAAACCTACCAAACTCTTACAGAAATTCATTACTAAAGATATATAAAATATAAAAATTTTTCTTAAGAAATTTTTGATAATTGTCTGAACATTATAAAGATTTTGCATGTGAAATTTGAAAATTTTCTGATGCATAAAAGTATTTTTAATCTTAAAATGAAAATTACTTTGCATGTTAGATAGGTAACATGCAAAAAAGAAAAAAAAAGGCACGAGAATACAAACCTTAAGACTTAATAAAAAAAATTCGATATTTTGCACGTGAAAGCATTGTAATGTTTACTGATAATGTACCAAATTTTGTTAACAATCGCTTGCAGATTTAAAGGTTACAGCATGAAAACTATAACAAGCACAAAGCGGTTACGAGGTCAGTCCCAGGGACCAAGCCCATGCTGAAAGAGTTAATAGCATAACTGCTAACATCAAGTGTTATATATTGAGATATGGCCAAGGTATACAAGAATGCTCTAATTTATTACTCCATAACACTGCTGTGAATCTTTGGCATTTTAGAAGCTGTCATTTCATAACACTTACAAACTGTTCCCAACAGATCAGCATTTTTGATCAAATGTTTCATTGCTTTTGTAATGCACACAAAACTACTAGTGAACTTCCTATTGTGGAGGGCTGATGCATATTTTGTTTATTCATACAGTTTATTATAGGACACCAATAACTAATAAAGCCCTCAATACATTTATGTACTAAGCATGTAATTTATTTTTCTGCTCATATTAGCATAAATATGCATGGTTTGAGTACAAAACAACATATATTGTTTTTTTTATCAAATATACTGTAATCTATATTCACTTCTCTTTCTAGTGTCTAGAGGTCCCATGTTTAGAGTGCAGTAACTCCATTATAAAAAAGCTCATCAAAGTTGTTTTGATGCATTCTTTTTATTTTACATCAATCTGCAATCAACATAAAGGTCATAAACTTGCAAATCATTTAAGATTTTAATTTGGTACTTGTACTGAAAACACTGCATTACAATTTTTTTCCAGAGGAAAATTAACCTACTTAGTGTTAGTTGCTGTTAATCTTGGTTAAACCTTGCATTACAAGTGTAACACGGCTGTTTGGAGCTGTAGGTCACAGTTAACTTTTATACTGGTAGTGTGTAACATGGATTTCTGGTGCTGTTGGTCTCAGTTAACTCTTGTACTGTTACTGAAACATGGCTGTTTGATGCTGTTGGTCTTGGTTAACTTGTAGTGTAAGATGGATTTCTGGCACTGTTGGTCTTGGTTAACTCTTTTCATATGGGGTTGGTCGTTGTGACTGACCTTGTAACCACAAAATAACTATCAGAATTTCCATACAATAACTTTTAATATGTTCACAAAATTTTGCAAGCTTTCAAGTATAAAGTACAAATTGTACACAAAAAATCAGGTATTTTAATTAAGTATTTTTACTAAAGATTTTTCTGTGAATATAAGGAATCAGTGTTGACTGCTCCAAGTGCAAAGTGATTTTCGTGTTAAGATTGAAAGTACTTTTCTTCATCTGAAAATTTTAAATATCATCTGTGTAATCTATAAAACCTTCTAAATAAATATCAAATGTCTCTTTCAATAAACTTTATATTTGTTATTTTCTCTACTGTAGCTCTATTAAATAGATTGACCTTGTACCCACTATAAGAAAATACAAAAGTAAATTAACCTTTTTATTTTTCCATAATAACTGTAGATTGCAACAGAAAACATACAATTGTTTATCCTAAATATCTTAAGGCTCATAATGGTCTACATCTGTTTATACTTAATTTTATTGTTTTATTGCCCTTTGAACCATGTCTTACTATTAGTCCTACTACACAAGTTGTAATTCACTTGGCTAACATGAAGCTCATGTTACACTATCAATTTAAGTAACATGCAAGCTATTCATTAGTGTACCTCAGGAAAAATTCTTATTTTTTTCTGTATGTTACCTAATCTACCCTTATTTATTCCATTAAGTTTCTTATTTTTAGATTTTGGTTACTTTTATAATAATAAATGTAGAATATACATTAAAAACAAGAAATATAGTACTTACCTAGGTCTTATTTTTGTTGTTGACTGCTGATGAAACTTAAACCTACTTTTTATACTAATGGTACTACTGAAATAAATATTTTTTTATTTATTTCAATAATGCGCCTGAAAAACACAGAGTAATAACATATAAAAACCAGACAATGTTCAATACCTATCAAATTTTTTCTGGCTTTCTAACTGTGCAATAAGAGCTGTTAAAAATTCTGTTAAGCCTGTTGATGTGTTTCTCATTGAACTGGAAGCAAAATAGGTAATTCTCTGTTTAGAAAACAGTGTAATATAATAACTCATTTCATAAATTAAAACTTTAGCTTTCTATTGGTTATAAGTAATATGGTATTAACCATCAGAGAGAACTAGTGGCAGTTTGTGAAAGAGGGAATGTAAGAAGTAAGCACAGCAAGTGGGTCCATTTTTCTAGTTTATGGCTCTGTAAAGATTGAAGGCTGTAAAATATTATATTTTGCCTGAGTAATATCTATATTATAATAAATAATTGTCGTGTTGGAGAGGTAATCAATGAAATAGAGAAGATGGAAGACCTAGAGAGCAAATGTCAAAATTCTCATATTAGAGGAGATTGATTAATTTTTTTATATATATATAATACAATTTGATTTATCAACTATGTTTTAATGCCAAGTATCTGTTTATTATTATTATTTAAGATAGACCCTCCTCGAATGTAGTAAAAGTTGTTAAGAGTAAATTATTATACCCTCTTTTCAATAAATCCACCATAGAAAAAAAACTTTTTTTATTCAGAGGATAAGAATAAAAAATTAGGAATAATATATGTTTACACTTCCTACAGTGGGAACCTGTACATTAGACAATTAATGCTAAATTTTGAAAATTATTGACTGAAATTAGACACCAGTGCTCCTTCTTTGGTCAGTCCCCACAAAAATAGAATTTAATGTAGTTTTGATTTAGCTCTAATGAAAGACTTTTTTTATAACAAGATTTAAAGAAGACATTAACCATATAAATAATTAAATTAAAGATTTAAAAAATATATAATCACGAACTGTGTAATTTGAAACTGAAATAATTGTCGTATCATTTTCCAATGTGAAAACTGTCAACCACCAAACATTTATTACTTAATTCATTGAACTTGGAATTCAGGTGAACTTATAAAGGGCAATTATGACAATTTTCTTTTTATAACTTAGCTAACATATCAAGCAATAAGTTATACACTTTTAGTGTAAATAATAATACATTTATCCTTCACAAATCAAATGCTTAAGAAATTGAACAATGAGTGAAAGTTCTTTGAAATTGAATCAACTCATGTTTGAAACAACAACACCAAAGAGACAAGTTAGAGGCCTGATGTTGAAAGCAAGTCAGACTTGTTTAGACCTAAAAAGTCGTTTGTTAATGAGTTTATACACCTGAGAGACAGATTAGAAAAATTTTATCATTTTATAATTAACATAGGATCTGTTCCTCATCCAAAGGCAAAGTAGTGTATTTAGATGACAAGCCATAATTGTTCCTTGAAGGTGTTAAATACATTGTTGGAAAATCTGGAATATGCTGTACCCAAATATGCAATCCATATGACACTTACTTATTTCATTTACAGTCGGAAACATGGTTTGTAGTGGCCACACCAACGTACCAGCAACAGTCACACATACAAATTGGTTGTTTCTTTCTTTTTTTATTCTTGAGTGAAATTATGTGACCTATCTTCACTGTATGTGGTTGGGAACCTAGTTCTTGATCTTCTGACTTTGTGGAAGGTTATTACTACTGTCATTACTATCTTCATGAACACCAAACCTATTTTTGAGTGCTGTCACAAAGTCTTTGGACTTAATAAGTGGATTTGCATCAAAAAAGAGCTGTCAAAAGGTTTGATCACATCCACAACGACTGCACAAATTGCAAGTCAAACATCTCAGAACCTTGCATGTGCAGGTAACCAAGGGAATAATAGTGATAGATGATGACATGCTAAAGAGCAACAAAGTACCAGTTACAGTCAGCAGGGCTTGGAGACATCTACTGAAGATTTGTTGGTCTCTGGTCTAAAAAACAGATGTAATGACAGAGGAGGAAGGAAAAGGTTCACATAATAGACCCATTGGCTAAACAGCAAGAAATACTGTCATTAACTGATTATAATATTGCCAGTCATAACTTGGTCAGTTTTAAATTGTAATCTTCATATTTCATCATATTTTACATCCTACATAAATTTCACCAAAATTAGATAAATTCAGGATTTTTTTTACGTCTGCTTCTTGCAACCAAGGCACCTTTGGTTAAGGTAGAGATCATGTGTTACAGTTATGTATATGAAAACTTATTGCACAACATTTAACTTAATTTTTACTGTAGTTTCCAAAACTTTTCATTTGTATTTTGTAATTTATTACATTGTGAATTAGCTGTGTTTTAGTGCCCAATTTATGCAACTAATTTCTGTTTGTTCCCATTTCAAATTTTTATTAATATTTATGTTTCATTTTACAGAAATTCCTTCTGACATCTTTGGGAACAAGCTCAAGGAACAAGTGGAGGAAAGGTTAAAGTTTTATGAGACTGGAGAATTACCTCGTAAAAATGTTGATGTAATGAAGAATGCACTAGAAGAGGTATGTGTAACTTTATGCATTTCAAAGACTTGTAAACTTTGAGGCATTTAGTTTGTTTATATAAAAGGTAATATATTTGCAATGTTTATAAAACAAATTGGAAATATTAGATATTACCATTTATTGGGTAATTTGTAAAAAATCCACTAGGAAACAAAACCTTATAATATGGTGAAATAATCATATTGATGAGTTAATTGTAATGAATCATATGACCATGTCTAGATCAACCAAACTGCCAAAATAAAGTTGTTTTTCTTTTTTTTCCTTTAGCAATGATTTTAAAAATAAGTGAAAATTGGTTATGGAAATAAATACAAAATAGTTGTAGAAAAGAGAAAAAGGGGTGTTTTTGTTTGATTATTTATACTAATGAGCCAAGAGTAATTGCTTCTACCAAAGGAACAAAATTTCTGATACATGTTTACTCTTTATATGATTTATGCTCATTTATGCTTTTTGTAGTTAAAAAAGAACTTTGTATTTTAATTGAGGAAAAAGGTAAGAGAAAAGGGAAAGATATTATTTCTTGGATTTTTGTAGACCCTCTTTTTGTCAAATATAAAATCCCGAAGTAAATTTACTAGTCTTTCAGAATTGAAAATTAGCTTTATGGTGATCTGAACTGTTTAGTTTGTGTACTTTTCCTTTTATTATTAAACTATTATCTGTAACTTAATTTGATCTTTGAGCTTTATTTTCATGCTGTTCCTACAGCTTATTTTCAAGTGGGAATTACATTTGTTCAATATGTCTATGGCTTCATGTGATCTGAACCAGTAAACCTCAGTTGTTTCTGTAAATTATACACACATATATCTTATCACTTACCAAATTTTCTCGTTACTTAAAACATTCTTAATTGTTTTATGTTTGCTGCAAGCATAATATTTTTTGATGCACATGATAGGCATTTGAAAGTTTGAAATCTATGACTGTAAATGCACATCAAGACTAAGCAGTTGTGGTGTCAGGTCACTCAGGAAATGTTTTTTTAAAATGGAGAAACTTTATTGTAATTGTTATATTTAGAGGGCAGGTCATTGTTGTTGTTTTTCTTGTCTCACATAATAGGTCTTGGACAGATAATTTAAATTTTCAATTACCAATTATAATTCTGAGTCAAGGCCCTAAGAACCAATACATGCATTGCCATCTAAAATAAATAAGTATGAAAAGCATAAGTTACTGAACTTGTTTTTTTTTTCAAATTAGCACTTAAACTTACCCATAGGGGAGGGTGAGGATATTGCAATTGGGTCTATGTGTGTCTGTGTTTTCTCGTGTGTATCTCAAAAACTAACAGACTGATGTACACAAAACTTTACATATGATGGGAAGTCAGTATGGGGCAGACCTCCTCAAATCTGGATCTGGAGATGGGGCATTTTTGCAGTTTTTGGTTAATAATTCTGTAAGGTGTGACAGGATTTGTACCAAATTTCACGGGCATGTTAAGGTTGAGACTCCTCATCACACTACAAAAAAATAATCCAAATCATTGATCATTCTGGATCTGAGAAAGATTTTCTGAGTTTTTGAAGGTGAAATTTGACGTTATCCAATATAAAAAAATGCAATCTCAAAAGAGTGGGGTGAGTGTATGTGGTCTCTTTGATACTCTTGTTTTTACAGCCTTCAAGACTAGAAATGTTCAAGGCACATGGTGCAAAACATACCTTTTCTATGATCGTGATGTAACCAGGCAGATTTCCTTAATCATTCTTATTTTAGGACATGTGTTGTTCTACCTTGTTTAACTTTCTGTGAAAAGTTAGTTTTTGTATCGAAATTTTAAAAATATAAATAATGGTACCACCTAATGTCAGGATTGGAAAATAGCATATATAGGGAACATTTCTGTATGTTATACAGGGAAACTGCAAAATGGTAGCCTAATAGAAATGACATTAAAAATAGCACAAATAAATATGAATTTATAACGGTAGAAATGAAGAACATATCCTTTTTTCTTCTTCTGGTAACATGTACCCTAAATATATTTTTTATTGATATCTGTGTGTGTGTGAAAATATTAGGATTTTAAATAGTTAGTGCAAACATGGTCATGAGTAAACAAAAATAGTTTTGACAGTGTCACTTGTCAACCTAAACAAGTAGGTATGATATTAGATTGAAATATGGAAGAATCATTAACAATTTTTAAAACACAGCTCAATTTTTGAAATTTTTATTGTAGTAACTGTATCAAAGTAATTGTATTTTTCAGGTTTCTGCTCATCAAGAAGCAGTTTTGAAAAAACAAAAAAAGAAAGAGAAAAAGAAAAGAAAACGTGAGCTTGAGCAGAGTGCAACAGAGCAGTCATCTTTCATGGATACAACTCAAGAGGAAAGCATTAATATTTCAAAGAAAGAAAAGAAAAAGAAGAAAAAACACCTACAAGATGACCAGTCTTCATTTTTGGAGAGCACAGTGGAATATGGAGTATTGGACCAGTCCAACTCACTAGCTAATGGCGAAGTAGAGGCAGACACCTTAGAGCCTTCTCCTAAGAAGAAGAAGAAAAAGAAAAAGAAGGAATTACAGGAGTGAATGAGGTTTTTAAGTTGAAACTGTAGGCTGAATAATGTTTTATAATAAAGGTACAATAAAAAAAATTCATATTGTTTCAGTAAATATTAATCTATGTACTGAAAATAGCAAAACAAAAACTATTGTTTATATTTGAAGTTATGTATGTTTTCCAGAATTGGTTTTATAAGCCCAGGAAAGTTTGATTGGAGTGAAACTCTGGTTTTGAAGTGTAAAACACATTCTGCATAGAATATGTTAAAGCCAGTAAAGCATTGGACCTCAGCTTACAGACATTAATAAAAATTGATATTGCATTAAATACAGACTATCATTTATTTGGTGAAATGATGAAAGAAATTCTCATTGGTTTTGTGCAAAATCAAACTAAAAACATCATTATTGTTGTAAAAACAAAAGGCTGTAAAATATGGAAGAAATTATTTTGAAGTGTGCAATAGCTTTATAATCTTATAGTAAATTAGTACATTTTGATTTCACAGACTACAAAAAAAAATTGTAGTTTATCTGAACTAAATATAACATGACATCTCCAGAATATTCTCTATATTAGAACTGGATAGGACTTCTTCAAGAGTTTTATCCTACAAACATTATAATGGTGTATGTACTATAAGAATTTGAAAATTAACATTTAAACGTTGAAAAGTGAAGTTTTGGAAACCAGTAGGCCTTTTGTGATAAAAGATGTCAACCAGTTTTTTTTCCTTCACATTCATTTTAATTTGTCCATTTTGGGTTTAAAATCAGAGATGTAAAAAGAAAAAAATTACAGACATGTTTTATCTTCCTCAAGTTAGAAACATTTCTCATCTACACAACTCAGATTTCTAAACAAATTGTTACTTTAGGTTGTTTAAAGTTAGTCTTTTAACAATATTCATGATCATTAGCCAACAAGGAGAGTGGATGCCCACTGCTAAAAAGAAAGGATACTCAGAATTTATAATATAGCTGTAATAAAGTAACATTGTTAAAAATAATCTTGGTTAAAATGAGACATCTGATGATCATGTTTGACCCGAAATGCAAATATTTTGTCATTCAGCTTGTGATATATGATTAGTGATTTCATTTGGCATTGTTTCAGATATGTTGAAGAGAACCATAGAGTTGAATGTGCTCCAAATTGTAGCTAAAGCTATTTGAATATTTCAATCATGTGAGCAGCCACTGGGGAATGGAAACTAGCCATCCAAGCAGAATGTTGTAAATTCATATTAAGCCCCGGTCACGAAAAACAAACTCCTCTGGGCAGCCTGCTAAATTTTGAAATATTATGTCCCAGCAGGCACTGACTGGTAGAAATAAACTACTTGACTCTGCTATTCAGAATCTTTTTTTCAGATTTGAAATCCATGAAGCATGAAAAAAAGATACAGCTGTATGTAAATTTTTCTGTTCATGAGGACTAAGTTAATCTGTTTACATATCTAAATCAATAAGTGAGGCAGAAGATACAGCTATTTCTTCCTGCAAATATGAACATTCAGCTTCACACACTACGTCTGTAGGAATTGTACTGTCACTATCAATCAATACCCTCATTTTAGCTGGAGTTAAAGAAAAGAATGCCTTTATCTTGGAAATGGTGACATGAAATCTCTCTTGCCAATTTCCAAGAAGGACCGAATTCATCAAAATCTGATTAGCTGTGTGGTGGATACTTTATTATATGAGAAGTGAAGGAATAAATAAGAAATCAATACACAAATATATAGAATACACTAACTTTCAGTCAGGGGAAAAAATGTCACAAAAAGAGTAATAAAAAACATTTTGTAATTATAAAATGATGCAGGGATGGCAGTGCCAAAAATAATGCAAACAAGAATATAGGGATGATACAGCTAGCGATCATCCCTACATGACTTTCAGTATTAAAATTAAATTTTACACTGTAAAATGCATACTTGACTTTAAAATTACAGCATTTGGAAGTTATATATTCCTGGCTATTGGTATACAGTTTGTTTATCATAATATTGTGGTTATGTCAGGGTTAGCATCAGTGTAGTGTAACTTAGACGCTAGGATTTACGTACAAGGAATACCAAGTTGAGTCAAAACGTCTTGATTATTACAAATTCTTACTGCGAGGTCGGTCGAATTGACCAATCTCGTAACCATTTTGTATACGGGTATTTTGCAGTGTCACATTAAATTTTAATATTGGAAGTCATGTAGGGTTGATCTATGTATAGCTAGCTGTATCATCCCTATATTCTTGTTTGCATTCTTTTTGGCATTGCAATCCCTACGTCATTTTACATTTACAAAGTGTTTATTACTTGTTCACATGTAGGTGTAGTAAAGGCACAATGTTAAATAAGAACAAACAACAAAGCTAACAATAAAATGCAAGTAATCAAAATCAATTTACCCAGAGATAATACCATTGAAACACAGATTTAATTTCCTATATGGTTAAAGCAGTTGTGGTTAGAAAATATGATAATTGGAAATAAACATTATGACTTTATCTTCAAAATCCTGAGATAATTGCACTGTGTATTTAAAAAAAGCAGTAAATTAACAAAAATACACCATCTCCTTCACTCTCAAGTAACTCAATATGGAACCAACATCATCTAATTTGGAGAATCAGTCATATGACTGCTGTGACTTAATAACATAAGCCCACAAGAATTCTAAAGAAGAATGAAATCTTTATTTTACTTATTCTTTGATAGATTGTTTAGGCAGAGTATTCATGATGAAACTTTGTAGAATTGACGGCAACTGCTTGTTGTAAGAGACAAGTGTAGAGGACGAAGTTTCCGAAAGACTTTCGAAACAGGCAGTTGCCGTCCATTCTACAAAGTTTAATTTACTTGTTTTGAGGTAAATTAATCACAATGAAAAGTTAATTTTCATGATATTGTCTTTAGAATCAAGAAGAATTTAAACAGGGAATACTGTTTGTCACATAGTTGTGAAATTGATTGGCTAATGCAAAACGGAGAATAAATAGTTTCAAACTTTGAACTTTTACAAGTTTGTAACATAAAATTTAACAATAAAAATTTAAAATACCATTTTTCTAATTATAGTCAAATACTTCCTGTAACAAAGGTTCTAAATGATTTGACCTAGTGGTTTTACTCGGTTAAGTCAATGTCTTCAGAAGCCCTCCAAAAATAAGAAATCAACTATGCTCAGTACCTGTTGCCAGCTTCCCACTTCCTTTAGGGAAAGCTCGTAACTATTGCTTACTTGGAAGAGACATCTGTATTTTTTTTCCAAATACATGTTTTCTATCAGTAGGAGAGACAGATGTGCCACCTTTCAGCTTGAGCCACTAATAATTTTCTACTATGGTTTAGAACCTCAGTCTGCGTATTTTTATGCATATTCTCAGTCAACATTATGGAATTATCTAAGAGCTCTTAGAAGATTGCTGTTTCAAGTTCAAACCTATATGAAGATATATGCATATTTCAACAATAATATGTTTAATTGTGTTTTTTTTTGTACTCATAACATAGGTAAATTAAAATGTAGAATTATACGTGAACTTTTCCCTACGTTAAAATAATTTTATTTGCGAACTTTCGGTCCTCTTACCGGAGCCTTCATCGAGCAACAATGTACTTAAGTTACGTTTTAGAACCTCAATCTGTCAGTATTTTATTCTCACTGTCAAAATTAACGAGTTATCTAAGAACCAAGTACATTAAGGGCCGAAAGCTCGCAAATAAAAGTATTTTAACGTAGAGAAAAGTCCGTATATAATGCTTCATAAATAATATGTTTACTTAATTATATATATATGTTATGATGATTGTGTTTATTTAGAAAATGCGCATATTTAATAGTCATTATGCACATAAAAGTAAAGTGTTTTGATAATCTATATATTTTCTGTTGAATAATGTAGTTTCGCAAATTAATCGTTTAGCGTGCACATTATCTAGTGGTAGTCATGTATGTTAACTGGACAATATACAAAATTGTGTTTTTATTGTTTGTACTCAAACTGGCTTCTGGGGCTGGAAAAGCTTTCAAAATATCTGAAAGAGACAAATATAGCAAGAATTATACAGCACTTTCAAACCAAATAAAGAGGTCCAAGTGTGTTGTCCATCAACTCGTACCAAATTTTACTAGTATTTGTCACCTTTAGAGAGGGCTTGCCCCACCGTAAGAAATTGACACGGACACATTGCCAAACTGGTACAAACTTTCAGGGGATAGTTATTGCAATATGTAGTATTTCCCGAAGCAAAGTCCCATCTAGGATACAATAGATAGAGTTGAACTTGAAATGCCATTTACATCAAGTTTCATGAACCACAATTATTATGGTATGAACTAGATTTAGTGGTTGACGTGTAATAATTCTTTTTCAAAGTAACCTTGTATATAATAGAATCAATAAATGTATTTTATTTCTTCGTTTTCCTTATTCTCTTTGAGTTGACGATCTCTGTGTTAATGCCTCTAATGACATATTCCTGGCATTTAAGTAAATACTATATGTAACTCGGTAGTTTCCATACGATAACTGCCCATTACACGTGAGATTACCAGATATTCCAACTGTGACACTATCAAGTAACATAGTCACCTAATAATTACTTCACAATGTGTTCTAGGCATGGTCAAGTGTTTGCTTGCCAGACTATAAACCTATTGCCAAAATCACGCTTTACACTTTAGTGTTGTGGGTGTGTTATCAGAGTGATGGTCAAATCCACTATTCAATTAAAGTAGTGCAAGAATTGGGAGTAAGTGTTGTAACTTTGCGTGAATATATGAAATAAACCAAATTTCACAATTTGCTTTCTCTCATATGATATTTCTAAATATACTCCTGGGTATGTTTGAAACCACGAGATTCCACTAGTTTTTTGTAAAACGTAGTCTATTCTCCTGCACATAATCTTAACAACAATTTATCATCACCACCTTCAACTTAATCTCAGTCTTACCTAGTACTACTTCATTCCTAAAATCTTAGGGTTTGAAGGGTAGTTAAAAGGTAAAGGTAAAGCAACGACTTTCATCAATAGATTTCACTAACATACCTTATCTAGTTCATTACATAACCGAACTAAAACAGATATCACAAAGAGTGATGCGGTAACTAATGCAACATGATAAAATACAATCAATACGTTAATCTATCTTCATAGTAAATCATTCATTGCATCCTTATAGAAGTGTAATATTATAAGAGTAGGAGACAATATATGTGTATAAGTTTGAGTGGAATGGTTCCCTTCACCCAGTTTCAGAAGTTCTTTGAGTCTAATTGCTAGATGGCTTATCGTGGAACCAAGATCGTATATAAGTTTGGTTTGATTGGAATGGTTTCCTTCACCCAGTTTCAGAAGTTCTTTGAGTTTAATTGCTAGATGGCTTATCGTGGAACCAAGATCGTGTATAAGTTTGGTTTGATTGGAATGGTTTCCTTCACCCAGTTTCAGAAGTTCTTTGAGTCTAATTGCTAGATGGCTTATCGTGGAACCAAGATCGTGTATAAGTTTGGTTTGATTGGAATGGTTTCCTTCACCCAGTTTCAGAAATTCTTTGAGTCCAATTGCTAGATGGCTTATCGTGGAACCAAGATCGTGTATAAGTTTGGTTTGATTGGAATGGTTTCCTTCACCCAGTTTCAGAAATTCTTTGAGTCCAATTGCTAGATGGCTTATCGTGGAACCAAGATCGTGTATAAGATTGGTTTGGTTGTTGTTAAACGCAAAGTTACACAATGAGCTTTCTGTGGTCTTCCAACAACGGGTATAGAAATTGAATTGTTATCGTCTTAAGTCTCTAGACTTGCTGTTAAGCCACTGGGGAATGAGGTATAAGAAAAAAGAAAAAAAAAAACAACGAAAAAGGAACACGCGGCTAGAATTATCATTCTTTTAATTAACTTTTCCTTGTCCCTGACCTATGCCTTCTCATAACGATCATTATTTTGCTTAACATTTGTATTCAATGAATGTGTTATTTTGATTTTTGTTATTCACTAGCTCGACCACTTAAAATTGTTATATTAAGCCATTTTCTTAACCAAACTTGTTGCCTTTATTTTAGTTTTGTTTTGAACTAATATATCAAATTTACTGTCTTTTTCCAGAACTTAATATTCAATTCTCACACCTTCAAATCATAATTTTATATTCAGTATCCACACCTTTCACTATTACTCAGTGCACGAGTTCTTTCTCTCATTATAGGTATTTTTTATTGTTCGTATGCAGGCCCTCTCAGAGGTCCAGTAAGGCCCGAGTTCTTTCTCTCATTATAGGTATTTTTTATTGTTCGTATGCAGGCCCTCTCAGAGGTCCAGTAAGGCCCGGGCCACTTCTATCTTTCGAGTCTCCCGGCTATAAGAAGAAAAAAATGACACATGAAAACAAAATAAGACAATCATTAGCCCTAAGGCACAGTAAAACATAATTTGAATATTTAATTTGTATGTATAATTTGCAGCTTTAAGCTGAGAGTGTGTCATATTATAGTCTGATTGGGAGGCACATATGCTCTACATATTTTTTTAATTAGTTACTCTAATTTCCTCAACTAATTAATTTCTTGTGGTACCTCTCATACGTTTGTTTCTTGTATTTTAGTTTAAGAATATGTTTTTAAGCCTTCATCTACGCATTCTTTACTCTTATACCCTTTCTTCTCACAGCAAACCCGATAAAAGACTGTTGCCCGAAACGTTGTTTTCATATTCATCGATCTTGTTTGTTTGTTTTGAAACACAAAGCTACACCATGGGCTATATGTTCTAATGCCCATCACGGGTATCGAAACGTGGTTTCTAGCGTTGTAAGCCTTTGTATTTTCCGTTTAATCACTGGGGTTCATATATTCGTTAATAGCTTATTTTAATTTGGCGAATGTTTCACCTTTATTTTAGTTTTTTTTTCTAGTACAAACATTTAGTTCATAGCTCCGTCATCTTTTGACTGATTTGAGGTATAATTACAGTTTTGGACTCAGAAGATAAACCTTTTCGACTGATGTATTTGACCACACCCAAGATCTCATAGATTAATTTACTCTAATCTTGACTAAAATAATTTTAATTTGAGGGTAGGATGAGAGAGATCCCGATGAGTAATAAAACTGAATCGGGTATACCCGCAACCCACGCTTAGTATTGCTGTTGCCCAAAGATATAGGCTATAGTAAGGAAAAGAAAAAGGTTTCATAGATTAATTTACTCTAACCCTGCCTAATCCATTTACATTATGTACTTTCCTCGCCCACGCAATTCTTTTATCACCAGAACACACTACAACTATGTCTGATATCAAACGACTCTTTAGCGACTTAGAGTTTGAGTGCTCACTTTCTCAAGTTCATATTAAAAGGACTTAATTGTTTAGTAAAACAACAATGGGCGGCTATAGAGTTTTTGAAACACGAATATTATTACGTGCAGCGTAACTCACGATGTAAAACCAAAAGGCCAATAAGTGCAATATGTCAGTTAAAACATAACATAATTACAGGCCGGCCAATAAGTGCAATATGCTTGATCACACTTTTAATATAAAGATTTTGTCCTCTTGTGTTTGTATGTTTCTTTCCTTTGCAGTCCATATTCGATTTATCTGTGTAATATTTCCAGAATTTGCATTTTATGGATACTTTTGAATTTATCTGTTACTTATCAATGGACCACAGACATATATATAACATAATCGGATTCAAAGCCGAGTTCAAATAATTTAACAGACATATTGAAATAAGGTGTACATTTTAAACTTGTGCTTTATATATTTTACTGTCGTTAAGTACCAAAGTTTTACGTTGCGCGCGTGATCTGCTTTTATGCGTTTTCTACTGAATAAAGGCCTGTAATTATGTTATGTTTTAACTGACATATTGCACTTATTGGCCGGCCTGTAATTATGTTATGTTTTAACTGATATATTCCAGTTATTGGCCGGCCTGTAATTATGTTATATTTTAACTGATATATTCCACTTATTGGCCGGCCTGTAACTATGTTATGTTTTAGCTGGTATTTTCCACTTATTGGCCGGCCTGTAATTTTGTTATGTTTTAACTGGTATTTTCCACTTATTGGCCGACCTGTAATTATGTTATGTTTTAACTGCCTTTCCTTTGTAGGTATTTGGGATTTAATACTCAGGGTGGTCGCACATTAAGAAACTTATTTTCTTCTCGTTTGTGGTATATTACAATAAAACTTACAGGCTGCTGGGATTGAGAGAAGGATCTTCTAAAACGTGTCTTCACGGGACAAAGACAAAGAAAATTATATTACATCCGTAGAGCACAAATAGAAAGAGAATTCTTATAATACGTGAAAAGTGCGGTTTACTAGAATTCAACGCAGTATACGTCACCGGTTATTCCGAAATATTTTGGGGAGAAAAATCTCCAACTCATTATGAATCGTAAAAATATCTTAGTCACCCTTTGAGGTGAACTTGCAGAGTCAAAGTGATACGTTTTTTTTTCTAATCGTTGGAATATTATATATATGTAAATAATTATGTGAAATAATGAGAGGTACATCAGAAAACATGTATCTAACTCTTTCACTAATATCTGCATATTTATATATAAAATACAACGAACAACTACATTTTATGTTGTTGTTTTTTTCACCGACATAAATATTTCAATTAAAATTTATGAAAAATGAGGTAGAATAGCATAATTAATTAGAATATAACAAAAAAAATTGTTCAAGGTTAAGGATGTTGTACGCATGGTAAATTTCAAAGGCTAATAACGAATTACATCATGTTTGCTTATTCTGATTAACGTCGAAGGTCGTTTGCTACGCACAACTTTGAAATAGTTGAATTAGATTAAGCAAGATTTTTTAATGCGTTATCTGGAGCTTTCGTATCGGTTTTTAGTGGGAAGCAGGATAGTTATTCCTCTCTCTCATGGACACCTGGTTCCACAGTAATATTTTCCTCAGAAATGTTCGTAACTATCATAAAGTAAACACTTCAGCTGGAACATTTCAGTGGTGCAAGAGACTTATCACGTGACTGTCTGTCGTGTATATAAGTGGCTAAAAAGTATTTTAAGTTTAACTGTATTCAGTGAGTAAATAAGTTCAAGGTATTTACTGACTTTTTCTCGGTAATATAAGTTTTTGTTCTTCTGGTAAGCAATATATTTAAAAATATTATTTAATATTCTAATTCGTATAATATCATACATAGTATTTTGCCTCTATGTAATGTCAAATTAGCAGCATCTCTTTCCCAGAATATCTTTTTAATATGATCATGAATGTATTTACCATTGTAGGGAGGAAAAATAACCATAGATGGCTCTGTTGGAATATTTTGTTGGGCTGCTGGTGTTAGGTAAGTACATATTTGCATCTTCAAAGCGTATGTACTTCCCTTATTTGATAAGAATCTTTGTAATATTTTATGAAATTATTTATTGGGATAAGTGACGACTGTGTACAAGAAAAAATAAATTAGTTCCTGACATCCTTCCACACTCAGGCGCACACAACACAAATTATAAAAGTATCGTTAATTCTACTGTTCATTTTTAGTCTTAAAGATAATGATCTGTGATTATAAATTGTAAAATGAATTGATTTTTGTCTCTTAGCCAGTACATATTTATATCTTCTTTTCGATTGGTAAGACATTTTTTTAAAAAAATTTTCAACATGTACAGGCCTTTAAATTTACCTTAATTTGGACACACCATTTAATTATAAATAAAAGCAGTCTTCATCGTTGAATGGTATATCTGATATACTGTAGGTATGGAGTTTTCATTGGCATAGACCCGAGCCCCAATGGCACGAGACGATTGTTTTTTCATTTACTTTCTTTTTTTTTGAGTATGAAATGATGAATTGTGGCACTTTTCTTCTCTCAAATAGAATAACCAAAAATATATACGTATACATGTTGCACTTCTTGGCTTCTGGTGTTTACTTTTCTTTAACGACCTAGCACACCTATCATCAGGTTAGCATACCTTCATAGTGCTTAAAGTTAAACTTTCTAAACTCCCGACCTAACCACACTTTTCCAACTTTTCAAATACTTAACCTAACCACATTTCACAAAATATGGATATTAATTATTAGAGAAATAATTTTGGCATGCTGATAAGCGTCCCCCAAATCGGGTAATCTAAAGGCTTAGTGTCTCTCTATCTCTGAAATGTTGTAAGCCAAGATTTGAGAAGAAAATATATTTAATTTCATTCAAATGTACAACCCTTCTTCATTGTTAAATATGAAAAAACATTCCGCCTAAAATAGAGTTGTAAAGAAACATTAAAACATGTTGTTGGTGTACGTTAACAGTCATAAGTTGTCGATAGAGCATATATCTAAGTAAGAAACGTTTATAATTAATGTTGTTAATAAATGAACACTTTTCAAAACGAAACATGGCATGTTTTTACTATTGTAATGTATTAAAAATACGGTTACTAATATTGAGAACTGATACTTTTATAAACGATTAGCCCAAACGGACGGGATTGGGGACACACCATTACTCTTGTCAGTAGGCTTGTCAGTTTATCTTAACTCCTTCCTAGCTTTTAGCTGGTACCCACTTTCAGCTGCGTATATCAAAGCAAATTTGGGCTAGTGTCTTGTTGGGGGACGCAACGACTAGGCACGAGCATACGTCCACCAGCAATCTCTTGATTACCACTTCGAAGCACGAACACTAGACAACACTCTCCCCTGTGCAATGTAGTGGCTGTGCGTTATCAAACTCATTAAAAGAATATCCATTGCATCTATCTTCTTCGTAATTTCCCGAATAAATTCTCATAATTATTATTTTTCCTTCCTCTAGGGACAACGCTAGGAGCTACATATCGAGATTCCAACAATTATCTAGACACAGTGTTGAACATAAACCTACAAAATGAAATTCGAAATCTTCGTATGGATCCAATCTCCCTTGCAAATTTCACCACCGAAATTAAAGATAAGGTGACTGTTATAACGGTAAAAGTCACTTCTAAGTATTACGATGGCGAAATGACCGGATTGTCTCAAGTACAACGATGGGGTAACTGCTCACAACCCAGGTACTCTTACGGAAATATTACAATCAATTGTACCTTGGCTTTTAATGACCTTAAGGTAAGTACTGATTTGTTAGTAATATTTTAACATTTATGGTTTACTCATTTACCAATTCTTGCTTCCCTTTTGGCCCGGCATGGCCAGGTGATTAGGGCGCTCGACTCGCAATCCCCGTCACACCAAACATGTTTGCCCTTTCAGCCGTGGGGGCGTTATAATGTGACGGTCAATCCCACTATTCGTTGGCAAAATAGTAGCCCAAGAGTTGGTGGTGGGTGGTGATGACTAGCTGCCTTCACTCTAGTCTTACACTGCTAAATTAGGGAGGCTAGCGCAGATAGTCCTCGTGTAGCTTTGCGCGAAATTCATAACAAACAAACAAGCTTCCCTTTTACATAATATATTAATTATTAATGTTCATCTTAAGTATGTTGTTAATGTATACTTATGTAGATAAATGCAGCAAAGATTTAGATATAAGTAGCGTTACAATTGTAATTTAATTTCTCATCATCAATCTTTTATGTCACACAAAAACATATATTGGCACTGAAATTTTGTCATCTTCCATCATGGCTGTAACTTACAGATAAACGTATTTTTGTACTAAATTTTTTGTTCATCTTCTATCAGCTCCGTATGTTATAAAGAAAATGTCTTTCATTGGCGTTCGTTATGTCATCTTCCATTAAGCACATATGTCATACAAATGGTTTGGTGCTACTATAGCGTTCGGTCTACAAATATATTTACAGTATAGCGTGCTGTCTACACAGATACTGTCATCATCATTTTTCGTTTATATGCAATTGGCGCCATTTATCATAAATAACGCTTTTAAACTAATAAAGTACAAAATACCATTACATAACATTTTTTGGGACAAATATAATCGGAATTATGTAAATTCCAAAAATCAAAACTAGCCCAATTATAACCTACATTTAAGGTACTGTTTTGGAACATATAACTTATTAAGTTATTATTATTTGCTGAACAAAAACGTAGGTGGACGTAAATTATTTAGCAATAAATTATGTTTTAGTCAATCATGAAAACGGCGGTGATGATGATAGTATCTGTGTAAACAGCACGCTATAGTAGCACCAAAGGTCTTTTGTATTGAACTTTATGTATTTAATATTCCCTAATAAACTTGCATTTTCACTAAATGGACCATCTCATCTTCAATCAACTTCGTATTTCATACAATAACGTACCTTCACACTAAATGTATTATGTCATCTTCCACCAACGTCGTGTTTTTATATTGAAATGTATTATGCCATCTTCACACAGAACGTGTATATTTTTGCACCAGAATGTTTTATGTTGTCTTGTACCAGGCTCTTATTTTATTCAGAAAAGTGTTTTTGCACTGAATTATTTTGTCATCTTCCTTCATGTACACATTTCATATAGAAACGTATTTTTATACTGAGTGTTGTACGGCATCTTCCATCAGCTTCTTATTTTATACAGAAACGTATTTTGCACTGAAAACTTTATTTCGACTTTCATTAATCTCGTATTTTTATACCGAATTTCTCTTGTGTTTTCTTCCATTAGCTTCTTATTTCAATTATAAACATATTTTTGTGCTGAAGATTTTTATGTAATCTTCTGTCGGCCACATGTTTCAAGACGTTATAGTTTATGAATCTTCCTCATTAAAAAAATATTTAACTTGAAAAACACCAACAAATGTGGGCAAACGTTTTACCCGTGTGATAGTCTGAACCGTCAAAAGAAGTATCTAACCGGGAATTGCAAGTCATTTAACCTTTTACTTCAGGTAGTAGAGCATTCCCTCGTAGTGTGAGAGATTCCAGGTTCAAATTTTACTCGCATTTTACTCAAATTTTATCACACTCGCAGCTACAACTGTTTATCTCTGGGGGTGTTGGAAAATTACCGACAATTTCATCATTACAGCTTTAGAGAAATTGTGACTTATACATTAATCTATTTTTATGTTTGGAAATTCTGCATATGTAAAAACAAAAGACGTTTAATCTTGTTTGTGCAAAACTTTATGATGGTTTTTATTCATTTTTTAATATTACTTCTCTTACAACCTTCTTTTTTTCCTTTTTTTTTTTTGAGAAAAAGCATTGTTCAATTTTAATCAGTTGATAATCAGTTGTTTTCCTAAGTCGATCTCTTCTTTTGATCAAAATCGTAAGCTTATTTTGTTACGAGTATTTTTCAAATGATTTCCAGTCAAAATAACCAGATCTTCCGATTCGGAATACGGAAAACCACAAATTAAAATCAAAACAAAATCTTCGAACGCTCTACGATCAAGGGCTTTTCTTTTGTTTATTCTGATGCAGGAGATGGTATCTGGTATCGGTGTATAACTTTCAAGCTTCTAAAAACCTTTAACGATCTGAACCCTGAGACGATGGTAACCATAATATCTATTATATTTTGTTATAAAATACGAAGACTCGTCAGAGTTGGGACGATTGGGTAAATCGAAAAAGGCCTACTATTTTAGGAAATATTTTAATAAACACATGACTTTCATGTAAATCATTTAAATTCTTGGTAAAGAACAAATGTTCCAGATTTTCTGTAGTGCTGCCCCCTCCTCAGTTGTTAACAGTCAGTAAAGTTATATACTTTTATGCAATAGTATCACCTTCGCGATGATTGATCTGTCATGAACGTGTTCGTCACATGACTTATGAGTAACAATGGATCTGTTCTCAATTTGTCAAATGCCCTATACAGTAATGGAGCTGGCATCTGTTTATTACATGGCCTACACAGTAATGGATATGGCATCTGTTCGTCACAGGGACTACAGGGTAACGGATATGGCGTCTGTTCGTCACAGGGACTACAGGGTAACGGATCTGGTATCTATTTATCACAGGACCTACACGGTAATAGATCTGGATCTGGCATCTGTTTATTACATGACCTACACAGTAACGGATCTGCCACCAGTTCGTCACAGGGACTACAGGGCAACGGATCTGGTATCTATTTATCACAGGACCTACACGGTAATAGATCTGGATCTGGCATCTGTTCGTCACAGGGCCTGCACGGTAATAGATCTGGATCTGGCATCTGTTCGTCACAGGGCCTGCACGGTAATAGTTCTGGATCTGGCATCTGTTAGGTTATGTAATAAACAGATGCCAGATCCAGATCTATTACCGTGTAGGCTATGTGACGAACAGATGCCAGATCCAGAACTATTACCGTGCAGGCCCTGTGACGAATAGACACCAGATCCATATATTTTACCGTGTAGGCCCTGTGACGAACAGATGCCAGATCTAGATCTATTACCGTGTAGGCCCTGTGACGGTGACGAATAGATACCAGATCCGTTACCCTGTAGTCCCTGTGACAAACAGATGCCACATCCATTACCGTGTAGGCTCTGTGACAAACAGATGCCAGATCCGTTACTTTGTTGGGCCTACACGGTAATAGGTCTGGATCTGGCATCTGTTCGTCACAGGGCCTACACGGTAATAGATCTGGATCTGGCATCTGTTTGTCACAGGGCCTACACGGTAATAGATCTAGATCTGGCATCTGTTCGTCACAGGGCCTGCACGGTAATGGATCTGGATTTGACATTTGTTCATCACAGGGCCTACACGGTAATAGATCTGGATCTGGCATCTGTTCGTCACAGAGCCTACACGGTAATAGATCTAGATCTGGCATCTGTTCGTCACAGGGTCTACACAGTAATGGATCTGGCATCTGTTTGTCACAGGGCATACAGAGTAAGGGATGTGGCATCTGTTTGTCACAGGGCCTACACGGTAATGGACGTGGCATTTGTTTGTCACAGGGCATACAGAGTAAGGGATGTGGCATCTGTTTGTCACAGGGTCTACACGGTAACGGATCTATCATCTGTTTATTACATGACCTACACATCGGGTCATATTTAAGACGAAGAACTATTCTAGTTAATAAATGAAACTTAACATAAAGTACTTTTATACGCATGCATCTTGTGTATGTATGTATGTGTGTGTGTGTGTGTGTGTGTGGCTACGCATATATAAGTATACATATTAACATTCTTATTCGTCATATGTCAGATTTAGATACAATGTAAGCATTTATAAAACGTATACATATATAGTATGAATATTTGTAGTAAAATCATGGAGATTTACACAAATGACAGTTTATTTTATATTAAATCTACGAGTATGCTGTTTAGTTTGGCAACTCATATGATTTCTTTAGAAAAGATAAAAATATGGGATGAAATTTACAAAAACATAATAAATAATTTCTTCTTATTCTTCCGTGTGCGAAACAAAAATGGCGGATGAAGTTTTAAACATTACACACGTTTGGAACTCAGTGAGACCAGACGTTATAATTCAACGTTCAGGTTATATTATTTAAAGTCGTAGATCAGGAACTATATTTTGAAGTAGTAATTATGTTGTATTACTTGAAATATGACTAACATGGTTTATAATTTTTTTTGTCACCAGGTGGAATATTACTCCAGTATGAAATATGGAGTGATACCCAGCGTTCGAGTGAAGGGAAAAACTAACATTACTTCTGTTAGAGCTTTTGTAGAATTCCACGCAAATTTGACAGCAAACTACCCTGTTCTCAAAGCTTTCAGAATTATCAGTGGTCCGATTAAAATGGAAACGATTTTCAGTGGGCTGGGTCCTCTTAATAGTTTTCTTTCCAAGCTTAGCCAAAGTTATGCTGCCGAGGTGAGCAACATTGTCACAAATGTTATCTTTAGCAACTTTGCCTACGTTCTCGAAAGAAGTGCTGTTAAAACTCCACTTCCCAAGCCGTAAATAGTTTTTAAATCGGCGGCTGTTAATAAAAAACGGAAGTTTAAAATATCTTCAGAGTGCATTCGATTTGTGTGTTATAAAACCCAATTTTCGTACCTTAACACTGGTTCTAACAGACCTGTTTTGCAAACAGACATATAAAGTGAGATGTAAAAGTGAAATATATTACGAGAAAAAGAATAAAATAATTTCTTATATTATTTTGCGCCTTTCGAGTTCGATAAAAAGTTGCTTTCATACAGATATTCCGATTATTTTGTGTCATGAATTAATAAAGCAACTTTACAATATTTTGGATAATGTAAAGGAGCTTTATTCACCTTTGGTAGTTCAGGGACGATGTTCGTTCTTGCTAATATATACGAAACTTACACGATTCAGAATAAATCATTATCGCCACATAAATACTTCTTTTAAAAATATATTAGTAAATGTGAGGTACATGTATTGAAACGTAATTTGTATATTACTTTCAAGTTTCATCAGCACTGATCATCACGAGACCATCACGCTGTAAATGTCAGTTATTTATATACAGAAAGATTCAATAAGTGGTACGAGGTATGAAAAGCATCCTTAACTATAACAACTACAGCATGGTTCATGCGAACCTCAAAATAAAAAATATTACATAAAATTGTGTAAAAATTGAGTTTAAAAGCAGAATGTTTGGAGAAGTTTGAATGGATGGTATGGGCTATCGAAGTTAGGAGATTCACATAAATATATTCCCAGATTAAAAAAAAAATAAAGTAAATTAGTGAAACCCATCACTTTCATTTGTTTCTACGTTCACTATAAATTGTAAAAGTATTCACTAATTTTTTCGACAAAGTGAAGTCATGAGTAATAAAACCAGTGGAGAGCCAACTCGCAGATCTGATAAAAGTTTAAATTATGGGTTTCTATTTATTTAAATACACCCTATCTACCATGTGATGAAATAATAGATTCAATAGTCAGGAAGAACAGCTTTAGCCGCTAGACGCAATGTTGAAGCTAAGTTAGGAAAGATATAATTGGTAAAATATCAATATTTTATTTTAATAAATAAAACGACAATTTCTAACACAAAAATGATCAAAATGTTTATATTCACGTTTGAGAAATCATGTTATATTCCTCTTTATCTTTTAAGTCGATTGCAAAAAATAAAATAACAAAATGATAATTTGTTTTATTGACCAAATATGCTGTTAATTATATTGAATTATAAAGTAGAGACACATCTCTCTCTGGGTAGGTCTGAACATTAGAAACTAGGAATACTAGAAGTCATTCACTTACATCTGGTTTAGTTTTTCTCAACCCTGTCGATTAAAAACTGAACTGAGTTCATCACAATAGGAGATGACTACCCATATATACTAATAGCACAAGAACAACAATTAACATATCAAAACAAAAGTACCTATTGATTTGACAAGAAATGCCCGACACAATCAACGTCAAATAAATATAAAAGTAGGATTTAAAACAATTAAACTGATAATACATTTGTGTGGTAGTTGATTGATATGAATATTTTGAATCTGTAGTTGTTGATAGAGTTATAAAACGCACGAAACATTGATTCAATTAAAATAACATAATAAACTTGGACTTATCAAAAAATAAATAACTTCTGATTTTATAAAATAACACTAATAATTATTAAGCATATCAGATAATGCTGAATTTATGGTATTAACTTGACAACACGTGTGTTTTGAACTACAGTTCAGGCATGTTGTATCAAAGGTTATGTTACTACAAACATCCTTCTGATGAATATATTTAGTAAGATAAGTAAGATTAAGTATGATTCTGTCTTACTTTTTCATCACCTCTTTAAATATAGTAAAGCTCAACTGAACAGTGAAAAATATGATACTAGGATAAAGAAAAGAGCATTTCACTCCGAAATATTTGGAACGTATCAGATTACGACTAACAGTTAAAATGCTCCTGTGTTCAATAGTTTTAATGTTAGTTTAATGGAGAAGAGGCCACAGCAGACATGACTTATTTTCATCTTTCCATTATTTACTACGGAATTTGGAGGAATGGGGCATTCCTCTAATTTTGTTTTGGAACAAGATATGCGCATTTTCGTTTGAAATGCCCTAGTGGTTTATATTCATATCATACACTCCATTTCTCCTGCTAATATAGCCATGAAGAAAGCCCGTTATTGCTATGGCTCAACAATCATGGAAAGATTTAGAAAGTTCTGATCACTCACTGGTATCCAATGTTGTTGAGCCAAGATTCCAAGAGGTGCTTGCCACAGGGTAAGCTAGGCGTTGTATTAGAGCTTTTCTCGACGCAAGCATCACCGAAGATTTTTGTGATTGCGACCGAGCTGTTTTAATTACCACTGTGGGCTTCCTCTTCTGTTTAATATTATAACTTCAAACCTGAATGCAACAGAAATACCATCTGTTAAGATCTCTAACACCTATATGATATTCCATCGTTTCACTCAGGAGACCTTGAATGAACTTATTCACGATGCTGTTTTCGTGAGCCACAACTGCCAAATTGGGATATGCCTTTCCATGAAACAGTTGCAGATCAGTTACCCAGATTCCCACCTTCTCTTTCGTGCCTTCAACTTAGCCCAGTTGACATGTCAGTTTTTTACTGGGTTAAAACGTGTAGAAAACATCTATGATTGTGTCCCAATCATTGAGGTAATTCTGGTCCAAGTATTCGGTCAAATTGAGTGTTGATTTACTGAGACTGAACATCAGGCATTGCACCAGTGAATAGTTACTGCCTGAAACATTTATGGATGCAGTCCTAGCCTTCCCAAGCAACACCTTTAAATGATGGTGTAAATAGTTTTTCATCTTCCAACAGGGTCCTGTGGCTGGTAGAACAAAACATATGTAGTGGCACTTCGGCCAACATGTAACCGAGACACTAACAACGTCACGAGTGCCAAGAGGCACTGGTGCCCAGTGGCTTGTGATCCCCGCAGAGTGGTGAGTTTCTGAGGTAAACTTGTGAGCCAGGTCTGACCTGTGCTTTCAGTAGCTTGTCTTATATTTCAGCAGGGCTCTCATCTACTTCATGGGTTGTTTTCCCTATTAGGTCCCACTGTATCTCCTAATGAAGAGACCGCATAATCAGGTGGATTTCTTCCACTAGAGGCACCTTCACTCGCCTATTTACTACACATGACATCGACCAGCAGTGGGGATTAAACTCGACGGTTGGTAACAAACTGAGTTCCTCATAGAGCTCTTCTCATTTGGTCTCTGGGACTCCAGTTAGTATGTCTCTACTGTGAAATTTAGTTATTAATACCACGTGCACATTGAAATTAGAATCACAGTGAGAACAGAACCAGCAACTCAGGAACCTCCTAACAGAAGTTCTCTATAAAATTGTGGCTAGATTGAGGTCATAGGCATGGTCCTTTGCACATGTGGAAAATGTCATTTCAAAGTTTTTCAAAGTACAAACTTATGTTAGCAATGAGAGTACAAAGAAGTGCAGAAAAACATTATGAAAACAAAGAAAAAACACAAATACAAATCCTGGGGGCACAGCACCAAAATTTCTTTTTACTACTTTACTCTGTGGTATTCTGTGTACTGATAATCTTAAAGATAAGGTTATTAGTAAATTAAAATAACAAGAAGTTCAACAGAAAATGCTATATAGAGTTAGATGTGAATTTTCTACATAACTAAACTGGAAAAGAAGACTGGACACAATTTGTTGGCGAAAGAAATAATTATTTATTAAACCCAAGAAGATATGAAACATAATTCAACTAGACAAGTTCACAGGACAACAGTCAGCACTTTTCTCTAGTACTGGAGATAGATCATTACCCATGGAATGTTAGGATAAAACCTAACTATCTAGTTTGAATGTATCCGTTAAGAATGAGATAGCTAACTACTACAGCCTTGGCCAAACTGTTTGCATATTTTGTAACGAATAAGATCATTGTTATTAAGATGGAATACAATTACACTTAGCACTGTAAAACTGAAAAATGCATGTTATATTAAACATTTACATGTGTAATTTGTATAATGAGATAGATTTAATGGACATCATGAACGAATAATTAGAACAGCAAAAAATTTTATCAGACACCTGTAGAAAGATGTGTAATTCAGCATTTCACTTATCACAATAAAACCTTACCAAAACATATAAAATGATAAATATAACACCAAATTATTATAAATAGCGCCTGTAACCTTATATCAGCTCATATTAAACATTCAGTATTTGGTTAGTCCTCTTTTTATTCTAGACGAGGCGACGTGGCATGCTGTTGATGAGATTACTGATGTAATCCACCGTGATTTCATCCCAACTTGTCACTAGAAAGCGCTGCAACTCAGGTACAGTAATTGTTTTAGGGTCGTGGTTAGCAATTTTATGGCTCAGTTCTGCCCAACAGTTCTCAGTGGGATTACAGGCTGGAGACTTTGCTGGCCATGGAAATCTTGTAAAGTCTTCCACTGTAGGTAGTGTCACTGTCATACTGGAACACAAAACTATTGCCAAATCTTGCCCTAGTATGTGGTAGAAATATAGTCTCTATGTGATGCCGATAGGAGCCGCCATTGACGTTTCCCTGGATGATATGAAGAGTAATTTTTCCACTATGACGAATAGCTGCCCAAACATGTACTGCACCATCTCCTGTTTGTTCCCTGTAGGAAAGACAGTCTTCCTTCATCTGTCTCCAGGCAAACGACAAACACGAATCCTACCATCAGCTTTTACAAGCCGAAAACAGGGCTCATCTGAAAAGATGAAATGCCATCAGTGACCTAATTGTAAATTGGCATGCTGTCTTACCGAAGTAACACAGTGACGGCAGTGAATTCTGGTCAATATCGGTTTCCAGATAGCTTGGTTTTTGCAAAATAACTTTGTTTGGTTAGTCTTCTACTTACTTTTCTTCTGGATACCATGGAATGAATATGGTCATGCCATTCCTGTCGTAAGGTGTTACAAGACTTCTTTCGACCTTGACATGTCAACCTGATCAAAATGCGGTCATCTCAGGCAGTAGTTTTTGGCGTCTACCATTAAACTTTCCTGAAACAAAGTTTCTTGTTTTTCAGGATTCTGGATACAATCCACTGGGAATAACCTACTGTTCTGGCAATGTCAATTTGCTTCATACTATTTCTGGACAGTTGAACAGTTTGACACCCTAAAACTTCTGGTACGTGACGAGG